AGAGAGAGAGAGAGAGAGAGAGAGAGAGAGAGAGAGAGAGAGAGAGAGAGAGAGAGAGAGAGAGAGAGAGAGAGATCATCGCGCGGCCAGGTTGCCATAACGACTTTAGCCGACGCCGAAATTAGTGAATATACGTGCGTGCGTGCGTGCTCGCGTGCAGGTGTGCGCGTGTGTCCGCGTTTGCGCGTGCGTGTGTGCGCGTGCGAGCATTCGCTCGTGTGTGCGTGCATGTGCGCGTGCGCGTGCGTGCGCGCGTATGTCGCGCCACATGCAGCAGCTCATGGCAGTCACACGCCGCTCTGCGCATTTCGCCAAATTCGTATAAGCGGCTACACTAATTTTACGGCTTCCTTCAAGTGCGCGGCAATTGGGCCTGAACTCGTAAACACTGATCCACGAAGCTTCGGCTCATAAAGCACTAAAGCCAAGACGCACGCGGGCGCGTTTCCTACAACCACCACGCCTCTCTCTTCCGCTCGCGCCCCGCTCCGATCTCTCGAGAAATTCCCGGCAAGGACGGTGAACGCGTCTTCGGCTGCAATACCGAGAAGCTGTCCATAGAGAAAAGCGGACGTGGGTGAGATCACGTCCGTTCTAGTAGTGGGGAAATGATAATTAGTCGAGCGCAGGCAGAGCTGAATAGACAGGTTTTCTCCGGCGCGCAAGGGAAACGCACGACAGAGCGGTCTTTACTCTGATGACCTCATCATCTTTCCTCTACAATTACATCGACTGGGGGGTTCCCATTTGCTACCCATTAGACCACCTGCCCCCGTTACGTGTAGTTAATCGTCCCCGACGCAATTTCACGAACGAGGCTACTTATCAGAATGAATTGACTGTGAATATAGGGGCGGAGGTGGTGGTCGCGGTGGGTGGGAGTGAATATAGGGGCGGAGGTGGTGGTCGCGGTGGGTGGCAGTGTAGTAATACCTGCTGATCGACGACGAAATATTGTTCAATGTCAAGCGTGCGCTGAGCGCCAGCTGACGAATTGTGACGACCTCTTCTGCTTCAACAGATTTAACTAGAGGCCTTTAGAGGCAGCTAAGATATCAGAGTGGCAGCATTTGCCACACATATTGTACTTGCTCTACAAGGAATCGTTCGTTTATTTCGGGGTAGTTGATACTAAACAACCTTACAGCTTTATATCTAGTACATACAGAACAGCTTTATATTTTAGTAATTTTAGGAAAGTACTATAGTATATAAGTATATAAGTAATATCTGGAGTGTCATAATATACGTTATATCTATTTATAGATATCTATATCAAAGATTTATATCATGACACTCCTGATATTATAGGTTCTTTTATTTTATTTATTTTTTTATTGATATATTTTTTCAAGCAAGTATTGAAATCTGTGATGGGCAGGGCTATTACGTTTACTATTAATTTGCATTCCAAACCCCCCGAGCGAATTTTTAAATTATGCAGTCGTTATTTAACGATGAATTACCAAGAGCTTCCGTGAGTGGTTACCGACCCCTCACGTGACATGCCACGTCATCGCAAATGCGTCACCAGAGACACTGACCAGCCAGCCAGCATCCCGACCCGCGTTGATAGCCAAAAAGCGTGACTGCAAAACGACTACACGTATACACGTAGTACAGAGAGGCAGGGCGACGGATCATCGAGGCAAATCGGATCCCGCCCGCGGCATTACGATTATTAATAGCCGAGATTAGAGAATTCCTCAATCTGCTGCGTGGCTTTTGCTAATGAAAAGCGAAGCTGCTGCTCCGTGCCATGATTCATTTGCGATAACGCGGTAGTCTTCGCCGACGCCACCGCTGCCGCTGTCGCTGTCGCTGCCGCTGTCGCTGCCGCTGCCGCTGTCGCTGTCGCTGTCGCTGTCGCTGCCACTGTCGCCGCCGCTGTCACTGTCGCTGTCACTAATGCACCCGCGTTCTCTGCGTGATTTCCTGCACGACTCCGAAAATGATACACGATGGTGGGAGCGCGAGCGGAGAGCGTCGGAAACTCGCTATTTAAACGCGTACGTTCGTATAGATTTACTGCCGAGATCGTTTGTTTACCCTAATGGGTTACAAACAAAACTGCGCGCGGTGAGGGTGAGGAGGGGAGCGGGTGGTGGAGGGGAGGAGGAGGAGGAGGAGGAGGAGTGAGGATGGAGGAGAGAGAGGAGGTAGAGAGGAGGATGAGGAGTAGAGGAGGGGAGAAAGAGGAGGAGGAGGAGGATGAGGAGGAGGGGAGGAGAGGGGGAGGAGGAGGGGGGAGGAGGAGGAGAGAAGGAGGAGGAGGAGAGGAGGGTGAGGGTGAGGCGCGAGGAGGGAGAAGGAGAGAGGAGTATGAGGAGGAGTAAGGGTGATAAGGGTGCGCGTGTGGTGAACTCTAGAGTTCAGGCCTGTAGCAAATGAGAAATAGAGCTCAAGAGTAAACGGATTCCAATCGGGCAGCATACGTTATTAGAGTGTAATCACGGAGCGGGGTTGCGATAGACGAGTGCTCTCTAACGGATGTATAAGAGCTTCGCGTCCGTCGAGTGCGAGAGCGGGAGATGCCCAGAATGTTTTCTCGAGATTTCAGAGAATGACGATATTAACGAATTCGTGATAGAACGCATATTTGCCAGTTTAGTTGTTAATGTTCTGCGGTACACAATGTTATGTATGTAGTATGCTTATGTATGTAGTATGTTATGTATGTAGTAATGTATGTATGTAGTTGTTATGTATTACATGGTATGTAGTTAGTTACAATCGCTATCGGCGGGTATTTTGTGACCTATTTAAGTGTTATTCTCTGTTATTTTGGCGCCGACGCATGTGTGTGTGTTGTTGGTCTGCCCAGTCTTTACTGGACTTGTTTCAATTATATCTAATATATTATATATATATATATATATTGTATAGTATAATATATTACTATAAAAATTATATATATATAAATAAATAAATAAACTGTATATAACATTTGTGCATGTCTCCTGTGGCGTGTTCGTGTGCCAGTCGCTGTCCACGTGCGTGCGTGTTCGTGTGTGTTTCGTGCACGCGCGTTGCGCGTGGTGTGCGGTACAAAATCGTTGACCTCACTCACTCACTCACCTATGAAGCTGCAACGCCTCGTCGAAGTACTGACGCAGTTTCTGCTCGGTGCTGTTGGACGCCGGCAGGGCGGCGGTAGGCGATGCGCGCTGCTCGTGGTGGAACGGCACGTGTGCGTCACGTTGAGCACGTGCGACACGCGCAGCGTCCGCAGCCGCTCCAGGTGGCGCGTCGCGTTCGTTGCCAAGGATAAGATGCGGGAGAAGCTCGCTGGCGCGGGTGGTTCTCGATGTCGGCATCGCAGGTGATCATGTGTATGACTTGTGGTGTTGATGGGCGGCGGCTGTAGCGCGGGTGAGATGATGACGCTCGACTTGAGATCCGTTCTCGCACAGCTCGCCGTGCTGGTGGTGGAAACCTGAAGGCGCCTGTGTCAAATACAAATAACAATGTATGCGCAATTATTCATTAATATTAATATTATCATGATTTTTTTTTTTTATTATTATTATTATATATTATTATTATTATTATTATTCATCATCTCGTCATCATCATCGACTTGACAGCGTTCTCGCTCAGCTCGCCGTGCTGGGGTGCACAGAACACCTAAGGCCACCTGACGGGAGGAGAGGAGACGAGAGGTGGTAGAACGTGCGACGATAGGGGCGGGGGGGTGTATAAATAGCGTTAAACACAAATAAATGCCAAAAGTGTTTTATTAATTCTTATTATTATTATGATTACTATTATTATCATCATCATCATCATCGTCGTCGTCGTCGTCGTCATCGTCACCAACATCATCATCATCATCATCATCATGTATCATTACATAATATTTATAAGTATCAGCTCTCTGAAGATATATATATATATATATATATATATATTGAATTGCCCAAAAATTGGATTTCAGTGATCGCATAGCTTGGTACTGCGTTATGGTAGATCACAATGGTGGTGGTTGTGGTGCTGCGCGGGAAGTGATAAAATGCATGCATATAATAACGAATGGGAATTTTTTTCCACGGAATTCGCGCATTCCAGTAGCGTTGTTCAAATAACGCGGTTTAATCTAAAGCCATAGACGTTTCTAAACCAAATAATGCGGCCACCCACTCATCCCGCCAACCGTGCGGCAATAGAAATGTAGCCGTCACAGTGTCACGCGTCGAATTGTCGTGACAGGTCGTCGACGTGCGTCGTGTAGGCGGAGTTTACGCGAATTTAGTGACGCTTAAACACAATGCTAATGATTGCATTCTGTTACAAATTAAGTGCATCCAGAAGCGAGCGAGAGCGCGCGCTGCTCAATGAACATGCACGCACGCATCATAAATTCACACCCCTCGACTTCCCCTCTACCACTGGCAATTACCGAATTCCTCCCTCCTCCTCCTCCTCATTCTCCTCCTCCCTCCTTCATGAAAACCAATAAAAACACGAGAAGGGAAGTCGCGCCGGCGCACAAACGCCCGACCCCCTTTCAACCGCATTTCGCATAAAACCGTAAAAAAAACGTCATTACCGCTGAAGATGAAAAAAGAGAAGCGGAGAGGAAACGCGGGATGATGTCATTATCGCATGGACGCTCGTGGAACAATGACTCATGTTTATGCATGCTGTTCGCCACGTAGACGGCCGACAAACGTCCGTGCTTCCGTCGCGAACACAGTAATAAAACAATCGGTGTCCGTCTACACCCTAATACGTGTCAGTCACTGGTTAGACTGGCAACAGCCGGTCGTGCTTCGGTCGCAAACGCTGGTGATAAAACAATCGGGGGCCCGTCTACGCCTAATACGCGTCAGTCACTGGTGACAGGACTCCGAGAACGGAGAAGCCGAATTACCGTTGCTGCTAATAATACAGACTTCTGCGAGCGTTCGGTGGCGGCGCTGCCAGCGCGCGCACATAATGACTCTCTCTCTCTCTCTCTCGCTCTCTCTCTCACGGCATCATTATGCAATAACAATGGTTATTAGTGGCGATTAATCTAGCTGGAGGACACTAGCTGCGGGTTCTTACGCTTAATCCCTGATTCACACGCACTAGTACTAGTAGGTACCGTAGCTTGCAGCGGGGGAAGGGGGGTTAAGGGGGCAGTCGCCCTCCCAAGAGATATGTAGATATATTACATCAGGGGTTATTAATGACAAATATCTTATCGAGATCTAATAATACATGTATGATTTTTCTATCTATGTATTATTAGCTCTTGATCTCATTCATTTAACATTTTACATTAAATAAAATAATCCATATCATATCCTTTGTCATTATTCACCCCTGGTTTAATTACCATTTACATGGTCAATGACGGTCACCTTCCCGGAACACATCACAACGTGGCTTTGTCCCTCAGACAAGATGGGTTAGGGTTAGGCTACCCTCTTGTATACGTACGTGTGGCGATGTCGCCGACAGAATTCATATTTACCTGGGCGCATCCGTTTGCCAGAAACGTAATTGTTAAATAATTGTCAGTATTAATAAAATTGCGACTATATGTCTAATTGTTCGTCTAAAATGACGTAATATTTGCACGACACTTCACTTCAAAACGTTATGTCATTACGATGTCATAATCACTCATGATGTTTCTGACAAGGGGCGCCTGCTTTCCAATAGCAAAAGGATAACACTCATTGCCATGGTTACCAGCCACCTACTTACTATAAGCACGCACTCACGTAGATGCACACACACGCGCGCGCACAAAGACACGCATAGGCACGCGCAGGCATAGAAGATTGGTAAATACAGTCTCGTGATGTACACAAGAATAGAATCCGCATGTAAGAGGCGACGAATGCACGTCCTTTATGCAATCGTACAATGGGATTTTAGGGGGATTAACAATTCCGAGCGACTAGTAAAATGCTTGACACACCGCATAGTCAGCACACACGGGCGGGCAAAATACGAGAACACAAGACTCTCCTCAGCTCTTACAAAAACCTCAACTGTCTTACCGAATGTTCACAAAAGGTTAAATGGGGGGGGGGGGGAGTAAAACGTAAAGTTATAATAGGCTACCGTCTACGCTCTGTGTTTACATTGTCAAGAAAATGACTTGAATGCCATTCAATTTATTTTCCGTTCGAATGTGTAATCTTAAAATAATATATAAAGACGTTGATTAAATGTCGTCGGGAGTAAACACGCGCTTACATAGTTAAGAGCAAAGAGAATAATTACATTTAAAGTGTAGTGTCAGTCACAGCTGATGGTGCACTGTAACACGAACCTTTTCACAATCTACACGATATTCAAGATCATTACACCAACGATTCAACGAGGGTACAGTGAATCGGGTTTGAGAGCAGGATCGGAATTATAGACCTATAGGGTTTGAGGAAATGATTAGACCTGGCATCGCGATTTCATTCACTCAGAGTCACAAGTTCAAGGACAGATCGTAACACGAGAAGATGAATGAATCAGACAACTCTTAGCAGCGGTAAAAATTGGTGAGCAATGAACTAACTGCGTTCGAAAGATTTCTGGACTTTTTGGGAGACAAATACCTTTGTATTTCGCAACGCAGTGCCTTGACTGCATCCGCGCACGATTGATGAGTTTGAACCATAGAAATATAGTGAGTGACATATAGTCTAACTAGTCTAATTTCGATGGATTGAACCTAATGTTAGCTTTGCAGTTACAAACACCCTGTAGATATGATTCTGCCTGTCTGTATTAACCTGTAAGTTTTATGTAAGATTCTGCCTGCCGTAACGAGTTGTGAATCCCTCACGGTTCGGATGAAGACCAAAAAACGGGGGGGGGGGGTCCGTCTCCAAAATGGGAACGTAAAAGAATCACTAAGAACTTAAAACCCTCTGGCAGTGACCACCGTCAGTAGTCCTCAGTAGATCACCCCCATGCAGTGGTCAGCAAAGTGGCCTGGCGTGCCGTATAATAGGCTGACTATAGCGCATGAGATAAACTTCCTATAACCGTACAGCTAGCTAGTTCCGCTAGAAAGTAAGCAAATACTGCTGAGAAACATGAGTGCGAAGCCGGACACGGGAAAATTACACAGCTACAACGTCATCGGCGTCTTCTGTTACCAAGGCAACCGGACACACATTGATTTATCTTGATCTATGACGCCGCTAGGATGTGTGTCATATGATACACGTCTCTGCGCCAGAGAGTAATGCATTCAGTTACTAAAGATATCATATCTGAGGAGCGGATCTTCGCGCGTACCAGTAATATATGCATTACTGATTATGAATCGTAATATGATATCAGGGGTAGGTGCTACGGGCCATGTCGATGTTTATCATTAATCCGTATTGCTAAAATTCCCCACAGGATCGAACGATGATTGTCCTTCATGTATAATTGACTCTTTGATCACCGTTCGCTGATAAAATCAGCTATGGTTGTCTAATAGGAGTTAGCGTGGGAGACTGTAGTGAGAATGGCGCTATTGTACGGGTGACAGTTGCGGTGTCGTGACTCCAGAGAGACTAATCCAGTATAAATACAAAATGAGACACGTCACACGTACACGCATGTGCGAACCTTCGTGATTATTCTATGTGATTACGGCGCTATTAATTAGCCGAAGCTTTATGCGCTAACTCCGCCATAACAATTTTCGTGGTGTCGAACTTCTAACTTCTACTTCCAACTTCTAACTTCTTGGGGTTAAAATACATGCGATGCTACAGTAAAGCAACTGTTGTAAACCTGAAATGATTGGCAGCTAGGTATCCAGGCCCCCGGGGGAGTTGATTCCTACGATGTTGCACCGGCATCAGCAGTACAACACATCCTAAGGCAATAAAATCACGTGAACTCGGGTTAATAGTCAACGTGAAATAAAGCGCGCACGCCTCCATCCCCTGAACTCTGTTTAACCCCTACACTTGCTTATTCACCTGCGCATCCTCGCGGAAACAAGAGCGCAGTCGATACATGTAAACACGCACGTAAAGCATTGCTAAGCAGAATCAAGGCACTACGCGCTATAGGTTGCACTATTTCGTCTCTAGAAAAGGCCTTTTTTTGGCATATTTTTTCGCCGAAATTCGGCACTAGACTGCAATAATTTGCATTATGCACGCAAGTTAAATGCCTCGTGGACGTCTAGAACGCATTAGAAGTAAAATTGGTCTTGTGTATTCGTGACATTCCGTCAGATGACGTAGCCACAGCGACCGGTTGATCATTTTTGTGTTTGAAATGTGTTCAGACAACTTTGCAGAAATTCGCATCATAGAGCTGACAAAAGTTTCGAGCGGAGCATAGAGCATGAATCTGTAGTTATTTAACATGAATAAAGTGCATGTTCATTGTTGTGTAAGCGAAGTAACAGTGTGAGTATTTTTAATTAATTTCTGTTCGATGCTTATTCAGCCCTGCTGCCGATGGACGCCCTCTACTATTGTTCACCACCTATATCTGT